CAAATATTTTTTAAGTAAGTACGTGGATAAAAACTGCTCTTTCATCCCTAAATCCATAGCCCTAGCCGATCAAGCACCAATCGTGATTAATAGCACTAGTATTGACACACCCTACAATAATTAACAAATCATATTCCATGACTTTTTGGGAGTCGGGTTTCTTGGGCCACTTGTTTGACAAGACGAATGCAAAAATCTATGACCTACTCAATAACAATTTTTTAGGTAAATCTAAGGGGGTGTTTGGATGGCTAGATACACCACGTTGGATTGGATAAATATGTTGTGGAACCCATTTATCCCAGCTTTGGCAATGCTTTTGGAGGCCGTATATTCATAGTATTTGAAAAACTACGGCCGTAGTTTTTGAGTCAATTAATCCCCTCTCATTTGGCCATGTGAATCCCACCAAAACTTTGGGATTCACTCTCACCCGACGGGATTACAAAATCGATTTTACCATTTCATCCTTACCCAGCAGAATAGTCACCAAAATATAGAGTTTTTTATCATCTTCTCCCCCTTTTTTGCACTGGTCCCCAGCGAAGCACGACTTCAAGGTTATTGGCAAGGTATGTTATTCTCTCTCTCTCTCTTTTTCTCTTTGTCTCTCTTAGACAGTACACTGACTTGGATTTTCCAAGAAAACTAAGAATCGACCAAGAATGAGGCAAAGCACAGAGAGAGTCAGGGAGTTTCTAAGGGTGGTTGCCCCTCTCTGTTCATCGGCCGATGATTTCACATGTAATCAGAAAATCAACAGCCCTTTATACACACCATACCACCCAATATATACTCTCTCTCTCTCTCTCTCTCTCTGTGTGTCGACATATCTATCTATCTATATATGTCTATGTATATGTCTGCCAAACACCATATATGAGGCGGTGCTGATGAAGTTTTCAAAGAAACTTATGGTTTGAGCTTACTGGTTTCTTAGCGGGGCAACTCAGAGGGTCTGTGAGAGGAGAGAGAGAAATGGGTTTGGCCTCATTTTTCTTATTTTCTCTCATAGAGCAACTGAATTTTTTTCCGCAACAATGGCAGTTTAGCCTTTGCCTGATAAGGGTTATGGTCAGATACTTTTGAAATTTAAAACTCTGCACCATGCAGTCTGGATCATCTGTTTTATTGCAGCAAGTGAACAAACTCCCTGAGAACCTAAGGTCCATTAATCCAACATCTTGTATAGTTGAGTCACAATCACCAATTGCCTGACTGAATATACTACAATCTCCTTGGATTTCTGAAGTATTACCTCACTACATTAAAGTCCCCTGCTAAAAACCACATATATTTCCAAAGCAATTCCCTTTCCTTATCATCATTGGACCAATATACAATTGTTCTAATATACAACTGTTTAATATTATATNTAAAAACCACATATATTTCCAAAGCAATTCCCTTTCCTTATCATCATTGGACCAATATACAATTGTTCTAATATACAACTGTTGAATATTATATATATTGTTGCATTTACCATAAATCATATTCATATTGTTCTAATGAATGATTGTTATGATTATAATGCTTAAATGAAGATACCAAAAATAACTGAGTATGAGACAGATGTTTTGATAGATTACAAAAATAAAGGGAAGTTACCTCCTTTTGGGAGGTACGACACAAAATTGATAGACGGGATGTTGGCCACGTTGAATCGACAAATGACAATGTTCAGTTTGTCCTTCACCGAGCTCATTAGGATAATATTTTTTTGGGAGAGACAATATCATACGATAAGTAAGATGGTTGACAGTCGTTTATTTGGATAGGATCCTATAACAAAATGTGTGGTGCACAACCCAGCCATACATCGGGCAAATAGATTCTTGGAAGTAAGTTATATGTTTTCCACCTTTAGTACGTACTTGTTTTAACTACGTGCATGTTCATTACACGTCAAATTAACACATGCTTCAAATTTACACATGTAGGAAGATGAGTTCGTTGCGATGTACTGCCTTGCACCATGCGAAAATTATCAATATTTTGACGTCATATTCAAACGAGATGAAGCTAGTTCAAGCAATCAGGAATTTGACAGTGTTGGGTCTTCCCGTTCAATCAATTCTCCAAGCCAAGTCAATGTTATAGTCATCAATGATTGATTTGGCACACAATGGTTATGTCCAAGGTTCGCAGTTAATATGTAACCAATGTGTAGTTGTTTTGTGTATTAGACTTGGTAAATCCCACAACCCATTTTGGTAATTACGCGACTTCGCTTGTAGTTGTGTATGATGTAGTAAATATGTGCGTAAATGTCTTTAACTTACCATTTCAAATATGTTGCTTTTATTTTGTTTGTATAGATTAAGGCAACTGTTTAAATGGACATTGACTGTATAGTGTATGACAGACAATGCCTTATAATTGTGTGTATTTTTATGTATAACGCAACGGTTCATTAATTATAATGTTCATGTTCATTTATTTGATATTCAAAATAGTTCTCACTTGGACAGTTGTAATACAAATGAGCTCCACATTCGTCCAAGCCACCTACAAGCAGAACAATGACATATTCGACCAAGCCACCTAAACATGTAAGCTTCATTTTTTTTTTCAACAAGAACGTTATTAATACAAAAGAAAATGAGCTAATCCACCACCATACAAAACATCAACATCCTTAAACTAGCATCACTACCACACCACCCAAAAAAATACATAAGTTTTCCTACCATTTCACTTAAATAGTAAAGGGGTAACCAACAATTCTCAATCCAAACATGACATAAGGTTGGATAGGATTCAAGAGTAATATTGTCAATTGCTATCAAACATATGAGATGTTTTAAAAATAAGATATATTTTATCCATGGGCCCACCACATCATAAATTACTTACCAAATTTGGGATATGATTAAAAAAATAGTTTTTATCCCACTACTAATCTCGGTTATTGGGATTTCATTGGATTGGTTAGGACTTTAAATCCAATCCAGTGTAGTCTAACCTTGGTTTGCCAAACATGCCCTAAGAGTATTTTTACAGTATATAATTTAAATAATTAATTTTAAATTTAATGACATTATTCGTGTGCAATATATGTAATTGTGTGTGTACAATATATGTAATTGGATAGGTTTATGTATCAAATAAAACATAATTCAAATTCAAGTTCTAATATTTTGAGTTATTGGTTAAAAATGTTATAATGGATATCAAATACCTCAAACAATTTCACTTTTATCCTAATAAAACAATGACACTTTGAAACCCATAAAAAATTTAAATTCTCAATTCACACTTTAAAATATTAAAATTTTTAAATTACACCCTCAACCACGTGGAAAGACAGTAATGTAATTTGTTTTAATAAAACTGAGTAAGAAATTTTCACATAAATTTTTTTGAATGGAGTAATATATAGAAGTATATAATGAACTTATGCAAATCTTGGCAACCATACGGGGATATGTCATGAGAGATTTAGGGCATATTTGATTTTGTTCTCGAAAACTGTTTTTTATTCTTAAAATTTCAAAAACAGCGAAAACCTGTTTGCTCAACATTTTTGTTATCAAATTTTTGAGAAAAAAAAATGAGATTTGAAGCACAAACACAAAAAACAAGGTTGACTTGTTTTCTGATACATTTCTTGAAAATTTTGAAAACACAGAGACAGGCTGGCTTGAAAATATTAATGAGATTTGTCTGCCCTTCGAGTCCCCTTAGCAGCAAAAGGCTTCCTTATTTTTTTTTTCTTTCCTCTCTCTCTCTCCACTTTGCCCATCGTCTTCTTCTCTAGCATCTTCTTCACTGTGCTTCAAATCTGCCTCTCTCTCCACTGTGCTTCAGATCTGTCTCTCTCTTTCTCTGTCTTTTGCAACAACTATAGATTCAAATCTACACAAATCTGAGCACATATATGTGTGGGTCTGTGTATGTGTGTGTGTGCCTCTGTGTGTGTGAGTGTGTTTTGTGGAGACAGAGAAAGGGGAAAGAAAGAGAGAGAGAGAGATGGGAAGTGTGATTATTGTTCNTCTTTCTCTGTCTTTTGCAACAACTATAGATTCAAATCTACACAAATCTGAGCACAGATATGTGTGGGTCTGTGTATGTGTGTGTGTGAGTGTGTTTTGTGGAGACAGAGAAAGGGGAAAGAAAGAGAGAGAGAGAGATGGGAAGTGTGATTATTGTTCAAACAGATTTTATAATTTTTGTTTTTTAAAATTATTTTAAAAAATATATAACCAAGGTTTTGTAATTTAAAAATTTTTAAATACATTTTCTTAAAATTCTTCTCAAAAATAATTTTCGGATACTGTTTTTTGAGATGCAAACTAAACAGGTCATTATTCCTCATGAATGTTTTAGTCTCGACGTGGATGATTTGACTTTGACCGAATCAGAAAGGATATTAAACGAGGTGCGTGTAAGTCGATTTAAACACTTTTGACCGTTAAACTAAAAAATAAAAAATAAAAACTTATGCAATAACGTTAGACGTGACCCATAACTTTACCAAGGTAATTCATATTGAGGCCTCTGTCNCGTGGATGATTTGACTTTGACCGAATCAGAAAGGATATTAAACGAGGTGCGTGTAAATTGATTTAAACACTTTTGACCGTTAAACTAAAAAATAAAAAATAAAAACTTATGCAATAACGTTGGACGTGACCCATAACTTTACCAAGGTAATTCATATTGAGGCCTCTGTCAAATAATGGAGTATACATATAGAAAAATAAACATATTACGACACCAAAATTGGCCAGCTAAACCAACATATTGGTAATTTGTATTCAATCAGAATTTTTAATATTTCAAGATGTAAGTTGAAAATCTAAATATTTTTCAGAGTACAAAGTGTCATTCCCCAAAATTTGCATTTATTTATTGTAAATTGATCTAAATAAATTTTAATTTAATTCACAAAAATATACACACACACACACACACACACACACACACACACACACACATATATATATATATATATATATATATATATATAATTTTTAGAATGGTATCATAGTCTTTCCCTATATTGCTAGTCACTGCACAAATAAATCTGACACCACTGCCCCTGTGGGTCAGATTCCGTTTCATAGCATAGTCACTTCCTCACCTGAAAACATGAAATGAATTCATAGGATGAAGAGATTCGTCAAGACATCCTGTGTATCAGAGTTTCAGAAATATCCAAATGTATGTGGTCGCGTGCGTAAATATATCTACGGAGCAACAAAGCTTGATTACAAACTTGCATACATACACCAAAAAAAAAACCATCTTTGTACGAGATTCTTGTTATTTTTAAGTCTCAAAAGAGTCGGATGTAAGTAAATTTATGTGGGTAGATCATTTCCGGGACACATGCATACATAAATGAACAAAGGAAAAATCATATATCATATGAGGATGGATACAACAATCTCCCTTTTATTATCAGATCTTGTTTTGATAACAATATACCGACACCCACTAATCATTATGCATGTGACATAGAGAAGTTTTGGGAGAAACATAGAAGAAGAGACAGTATAATATAGGGTTTATTTACATTTAAACACTACAAAAAGGAAAAAAAAATGACATTGATGGCAACACCACCTCTCATTTAGTAGCCAAGGCCAGGAGGATAGTAATTGTCCAAGCAAAAATCCATCACACAATAGTAGAATACGAATTTCGTTGTGAGCTACCACTCCCTGTTGCTAGCCTACATGACTGAGAACTGAGAACTAAAGTTCCCATCGGTGAGGGTGTTTGTCAGAGTCCTCCCATGAGTAAATCAATAACTGTTTATCATATACTGACTTAAATATCGGAAAGTTTCCGTTAACATCCCATCACATCGATCTTGTAGGTTATCAACGAGTAGTAGCTCATAATGATATTCGTACTTTGCAGGATGATGAAGTTTTGCAATGATGAATGGTGGTGAAGCCTTTATTGCTTACTTGTTGGACTCCGGATTCGGACCGCTTGGAACTTCATGGGCAGCTGCCCAAAACTGCCGATTCGAGTTACTTGTGGTGGTAATAGCAGTAGCAGCAGCAGTAGTAGTAGTTGTCCCTGTTGTCTCGGGTCGTCCTGGATTGGAATTCATGGTGGATTGCATGGTTATGGGAGAGTACAGAAGGACTCGTTGAACTGATATTGAGGAAGCCATGGATGCCATTGAAACATCTAGAGGACGAGCAAAGAGAGGGACAAAGAAGAGTAATAAGAGAAAGACCAAAATGGTTGGTGATTTTGTAGTTGATGCCATGAAATTGGAACCAAGAAATTAACCACCCCCCCAGTAGCCCAGAGGAGATCAATATCCATGAACCAGTTAGAGCACTGAGAGTAAGAGAGATCAACAAGAGCAAGAATGGNATTAACCACCCCCCCAGTAGCCCAGAGGAGATCAATATCCATGAACCAGTTAGAGCCCTGAGAGTAAGAGAGATCAACAAGAGCAAGAATGGAGAGAGAGAGAGAGAGTCTAAAGAGTATGGGTTGGGTTAAAAGGGATTTTGAATGAATGAATGGCTTGGGACTAGCAAATTTCCCCAAGGAAGAGGTTTATATGAATGATCCTGTGACATACAATAAAAATACCATGATGCTCCTCAGCTTGTCATCAAATTACAAGGATGTCCATTTCATTTGAATTGACTGATTAAATTGCGGCCAAGGTTCACATTATTCATAGTAATAATTGTGTGTTTATGTAGTATTATTTTTTTTCTACCAAGAGTAGATATTTTTGTAAGAAACAAAGGTTTACCTCATTTAGAAAGAAGTTTTTTTTTTAGAGTAATATTATTTGGATCTAAAAATTTGATCTAAGGATGTAAGTAAAACTATTGAATTAATCCCAAATTCTAATGTTAGATAAGGTTTACAATCAATCCAAAAATCATAATAAATTATATCATGAAATTAGATCTAAATAGCATTGCTCCTTTCTTTAGTCCTGGTCAACTGTTTTTAGGAAGTGAGATTCACTCTAATATATTTTTATTTGATTCTTTTTTTTTAGTGAATCACTTTCTATACATTCAAGTATAATCTATTGTATAAGATGAGTCTCTCGTACGTTAACGGTAAATGATCAATAAAAAAAAATTAAAGAAAAAACGTATTGAAGGGGTGCTAATGTATTAGGTTGTATTATCTTGAATTTATTTTCATTCCACTTCTTAATTACCCCAATGAAAAGTTTTGGGGCCTCTTTGATTGAGAGTAACTACACATAGTTATTAAATCATATATATTGTCAATTTCANGTTTTGGGGCCTCTTTGATTGAGAGTAACTACACATAGTTATTAAATCATATATATATTGTCAATTTTANCATTCCACTTCTTAATTACCCCAATGAAAAGTTTTGGGGCCTCTTTGATTGAGAGTAACTACACATAGTTATTAAATCATATATATTGTCAATTTCAACTCTTAGGAGTGGTTGAGTTTGACCTTTGATAACCCAAACGTTTTAAATTCAATTTTTTTTTATATTTTTTAAGGGTTAGTAACTCTTGTCTCTTTAGTGATATGCTCTAATCTAACTCAAGTTATGATGATCAATTACTAAATTTAAAGAAATAATCGACATAAACTTGAACGTCCAATAATAAAATATATTATCAATTTCTATAGGATATTCAACTTGGGTCTTTTGTGTCTTTTGGGTAAGAAAGAATCTAAAAAGATAACAAAGGGGATGGTACAAAAGGAAGAAGAGTGGTGGCTTTTCTTGCTTGGCCTCTTGCAGAAGAAAACCCTCTTCTTTGACTTGGACAGCCTTTTGAAAATTACAGTTGCTGTGGTGTCTGAATGCCTTTTATCATATCAAAAGAAAAATTAAAGATCACAGAGGAAAAAAGCTAATCATTTTAGCTTTTATCACTGATTTTTTTGCTTGTGAAAATCCAGGGCCTTGTCCCCATGATTGGATGCATAGGTCCCCACTGCCCCTTCATAAGCTGCTTTAGGAAAAAATCAAAATCCCACGGAGCGGACATTTTTTTATTCATTAAAATTTTGATACGTACTAAAGTTTTCTTATTTTATATTATTTTATCACTTTTTAAATCGGGGTTGCAAATTAATTGAGGATGAATCTCATTTTGTACCACGAAAAATACTTTAATTCTCAATTTGTATCTACAAATATTAAAAATCTTAATTTACACCCTTAATATTATGAATTGGTAGTAATATAGACCTAACTCAGACAGTCGTTCAATTTTTATTCATAAATTGAAGCACGTGAAGTGCAAGTGCTTCGGACATAAGGATAAGGTATGTCTATCGTTGTAAATCTTCGTGTGCGATCAATTTAACACCCTTTTGTATATCGAAAATAAGGTCTCTTCAATTAGATATTTACAAATCAAATCATGTATAACTCACATAAGACCGCCAACAGTCTGTGAATTCATACATAAGCATATACCCAAAGCACTTGTAATTCACGTGTTTCAATTTATAACAAAAAATTGAACATAAGATTGAGCGATGTCGATATTGCTACCAATTCATAACATTGATGGTGCAAATTAAAATTTTTAATGTCTGAAGGTACAAATTAAGAATCAAAGCATCTTTTAAGATGCAAATTGAAATTAGCCCATTAATTAAACCAAAATCTACTATTCTCAATCAATTTTGAGATAGTACTCACATTTTTTTGTGCCTACAACTTACCTATAAATGCCAACAATTTAAAGGATTCAATGGTAGCTTTCTGGTCCACTATATTTTAATGTTTTTTGGGGCTCAATGTGCTTTCAACTTTCTAATAAAATGCTGTGAAGACCTTCTGTATATGTTAGTAATACTTCTTTTAAGCATTTGAAATTTGAATTTCTTATGTTTTGGGTGGTTCACTAGAAAGGAATAAAAAAAAAGGGGAAATTGCATTAATGGGTAATGATAGTGGAGAAGTTTAGGATATGAGAAAAGAGAGAAGAATAATAAAACACAAAAGATATGTATATGGTTTGACACATAGTGCTTACATCTATGGAACAAATGTCTAACTATTAACTACGTTTGATGTATTAATCACAATACACTCTAAAAGTCGAAGTTAATTAGTATTTATCTAACACCCCTTTATATGTAACTCCACTTGGGTAGTCCAACCATGTGATTTTTTTATAATTTTATTGTTTGTATTGTAAATGATGAGGCCGTATGTGATTTGAACTTCTAAGTTCTAGGTTCTGGTACCCTCTTAAACACCATCTATTTTAAAAATTAAAGCTAAGTATTTATTTAATATTCCTCATCTCCGGCCTCTCTTGGATGGTCTATCCTTACGTGATTCCTTTTTTCTTTTTTTTCTTGTGTAGTAAATGAGGAGACATGGTTGGATTTAAACTCAATACCTTTAGACTGTATATCAGGTTAAACACATCTACTCTAAATGCTTAAACTAAGTATTTATCTATTATATTTATATGTGTGTGGGGGTGTGGGTGTGGGTGTGGGTGTGTGATGGGCAGGTGAGGACAATTGCATCCAAAGGTTTCAAAAATCCTTCATATTATACTATTATTACTTCTAGTGATGAAGTTGTTTTGTAGCATTATATTCCTTTTTTATCTTTTCTTTTTATTGTTACTCACTTGTTTGGCAATAGCAGTATAAATAAAAGGAGATAGTTATACTGCTACAACTTTTTTCAGTTTTCTTTTTCTTCTATTTGAGTACTCATTTAACCCATATCCTTTTTTTTTTTTTTAAATCAAGAACAAACGTTTGAATCAATTGACAACCTCCACTTAAGACCTTCCATACTTAACCCCATGGCACTCTGTCAATGGAACTTTCATATGCTTTGTATTCTTGATCAAGAGTTCCATGAAAAACTATCTGCATGCATTAGTTAGGATTATGGAGAAATTATAACCATGTGAACTAGAACTCCAAAAGCAAGCTCAAGTAATCAAAAAGATGAGCGGTAAATTTAATAGTCTTAAGTTTGAATCTTGACAGACCTGATTTTAAAGAATTTATCCCTCATGAATATCCTAGTCTCGATGTAAATCACTTACTTTTAACCGGACCAGAAAAGAGATTAATAGAGTTGTACGTAAGTTGATTCAGATATTTCTAACCGTTAAACTAAAAAAAAAAAAAAAAAAATTATGGGACCATGATAGAAATACAAAAAAATGATGTAATGCTGTTGTCATAAGATTTCAATTACCAACAAATTAATAGAGCTTGACACTTGTTGTTTTTCTTGCTAGATGGGAATACAGGAAAAACCCACTTTAACACAGATATGAGAAATTTTATGAGCGCACTTCACGCCTCGATATACTCGTGGTTGAAGATATGACGTCGGTAGAATAAATTTGTTTACTAAATATTCTATTCTAAATGACATGTCAAAATTATGTATATAGAAATTAGTAAACCACACCGATCCAACCATCTACACTGATTTAGATACAAAATTTGCTAAATAATTTGTTAAACATAGCATTGCCTAGTGCTTTTCATTCCACTTTTTTACTCATATAAGACAAGAACTTAAGAATAATGTTGTGAACCCTACCTTTCTTACACCACCTAATGTAGCATAATCAGTCATTAGATATTAAGTAAACTCTATAAGACTTACAAATCTAATGGTCTATGTTGAGGTAGTGCTCAAAGGTAGTGTGAATATATAGCATTGATGTAATCTTAATGCCTTCACTGACACCGACACCGATACCGACCAGATACTAAAGTATCATTTCACATCTCATACCAAGTATAAACCAACAACATATAATATCTATATTAAATAAGACATGAATGGTATTACCGTATTAATATCTAAAATATCATGAGTACTCTTATAGCTAGCCTAGAGAATTATGCGTTAAGCTAGGGTACTTTTGTTTTTGTTTTTTAAACTTAATATCATACATTTATCTCTCGTCCCAATATGATATTGTTATTAAAATATTAGATACACACTTTATCCAAATACGATATAAGTGGAATATAATAAAAAAGATTGACCAATTCTATACACAATTTTAGATTGAACCAAATGGATGAATTATTCAATCTCATCTCATATTACACTGGAACCAAACATGTCTTGCATGCGTGGTTGCAAATGACATGGAAAGATTTTGACATGACATCGACAAAAACAAAAGCTTTTTTGTAGAAAATAAATGCACGCATGGCAAAGCAAGCATTCTACGTAAACTTTTCTAACTTATTAGAAAGCTAAAATTACCAAGTTTGTCTTCTGCATGTTTTT